TATATAAAAGACTAATATATATATATATATATATATATATATATATATATATATATTAGGCTATATACAGAAATAGCCATTTCTTCCAGTGGTAATTGGGTTTAATGTATATGCAGGCCAATGTGTTTGACATTCAGTTTACATCAAATTAATGTCATGGTTTAGATGTCAAATGGATGTCATATGGACATCACATTGACATAAATGATTTGTGTGTTTGAGCCTCAAACAGCATCCATTTGCCTCATCTCCTTTTGAAACGTGTCCCAGTCAGAGGTGGGACTTTCAAGTCACAAGCAAGTCTTCAAGTCATATCCCAAGTCCTCAAAGAGTTAAAGTTAATGAGATAATTAAGTGACTAATTAAATGATGATTGTGCATTAGTGATGAACACCTGCTGTTAACAATCAACATCATTGAAGAAAAGAGAAACACAAGAACTACATCTGACTTCAGCCATAGCCTTAGATGAAATCAACTGAGTCATTTTAACCAATAAAACATCAGCATCTGATCCTCTGTAATTCTCAATAACTGCAGGTGTTCATCACTAATGCACAATCATCATTTAATTAGTCACTTAATTATCTCATTAACTTTAACTCTTTGAGGACTTGGGATATGACTTGAAGACTTGCTTGTGACTTGAAAGTCCCAACTCTGGTGACGGGGGAGCCTAAAATTAAATGTAACCTCATGTCCAGCTCATGTGGGTACATGTGTTGACATCTCATGAAACCGTTTGTTTGTGTATGAGGTTAATCCATGGCACACCGCTATTTCACTTGGTAGTTGTACTCCATTTTGCAGTTAAAACTCGTTTCCCAGCTGCACTGTCCACATATCTACAGCCCAATGATTTCTGTGATGTGGACAATGCAGAAGGAACCGTAGAATCCAAGCATAAAACCAGAATTTGCCATTAAACAATCAGGAAGTAGCGCTGCAAAGCTAACCAAATTCAGATCGAGATATGGACTATTGATTTTTGTTCACAATCAGAATAGGTGAGTTTCTTTTTGAATTTACATTTGCATTATTGATTTCAAGTTTACTGAATAAAATTATCTTTCACTGCATTGCTTTTGTGTCATTATTTTGGTGGTCGAAAGAACATCAGTGAGTGGATGTGAAAAGGACATAAAGTTTTTGATGTAATTTGACTTTTGACGTCAATGTTTTATGTCAATTTGAAGTCTTTTCAACATCAAGGTGCCCACTGGGATGTGGCTCTTTTCTCTGGTCACATTCAATTATATACCTTCAGATGTTCAATTTAGATTTTAAATTAAATATTGATTCATAGCCAACAGAACTGTTGACATTATTTACAGTATGTAACGCAAGTACATTCTAACTAACTGTAATTACCTAAAAATGAACAGAATAGCTTAGGCCTACTTTAGTTTTTTTCAGCGGATAAGTAATTTATTTCAGTAAAGCATACATACAATCATACATTACGCGTTACACTCAACACTGACTGACACCAAATAATTATTGAAGAATACGCATGTATAAAAGCTTGGTGTGAATTGTCGTGAGTTGGTTGCAACACATGATTTTTGAGTAAATTACCCACAGAACACAGGGGTGATAAAAACAACTGAACAAGCCATTACTGTAGATTATATCTCAGGTTCACCAGCAATAGTAACTGTCTTTACTTACCTACAGCAGGAAGAGTAAAACTGACGCTGTCACTTGTATCCGTCTGCTTCACTAATGTGGAAATGAGTTTCTCACTGGCTTTTAACACACGGTTTCCATTGGAGGCTAGTTCAGCTGGGTTTGCTGATGATGACTCTGAAATCTTCTCTGAAGCATTGAAGGCCAAAGTCAAAATGTTCTTCACAGTCTAATTCAGACAAATACAGTTACTGTACATGAAAATGTCAACAGAGACAATAAGACAGCACTAATCTGTCAATAATTATGTAACACATTTTGACTTGCTTATTTTAATCGTTTTTTTTTTCTTAAAGACTTACATCCAAAGGAAGCACTTGAGCTGTAATGTTCTCGATCTGCTCAAGAAGATTTTGAAAACATCCTCCAGAGCTCTGACTCTGAAATCCCAGAACAGACTGTGATTTGAATCATGTTTTGCAATATTAATAAACAAAATCTGTCAATAAAGAGAAAAGCACATTCATGTTTCAAATATCCGCAAATCAAATCTTATTGCACTGCTCTTTGAACTATTATTGATAGAGTCCAACTCTAAAACTTCAATTTCAGGAGCTCAACTTACGGTGCATCCTTCCTGCAGCGTTATATTTATAACTGCAATGACAGAAATCAACATGAAGACAATATTAAAACAACACAGCAAATGAAATATGAAAGAAATGATCAAAAATAAATTACAAATGTGACCATAAGTGTGGGGACGACCAAAAATGTGAAATTGTGAAATGTAATATGAAAAAACCACATTAAACTAAATATGACTAATATGACACTCAATCTCCTCACAGTCTGTTGCCCTGTAACACCACGCCAGCAGAGGGAGCCCTCGCCCGAGTATTGGCTGTTAGCACTCCCCCTGCTTCCCCTGCAACCACTTCTTGTTTGGTGGCCATATTAACATGGCCACCACATGGCTACCTCGCAAAGTATTGACAGTTTATCCTGCCTTACTGAGCGTTTGTATCACTGCCTTTTGCCACATGTATGACCTGTTTGTCTGTTCGTTTTGACTTCTCTTTTGGATCACCTTTTTCTGACTGTTTTGCTGACACTGTGTTTGGAATTGTTGGACTGTTTGAATAAACATCCGCATATGGATTCTTCCTCTGCTTCCGCCTCACCCTCTTTACATGCCCTTGCAACCATATAAACACTGTGCAAGCATGAAAATGTCTGCAATGATCTATAACTGCACGTTTCACATTCTTTTCTCCCTCATCTTTATCTAGAGACACAAATACTCTCACACACCTGTTTAATTCTTCAGATCCACAAACATTAATCAAAACACACTCAACAGAGGAAACATCAGACTACATTACCAGCTGAGCTCGTCTCTGGTCTGACTATTGTAGCGGTGCTGATGATGTTAGGAACAGCTATAATAAATAACGACTGATGAATATGAATTAATCAACAACAACAACAACAACGAAGATAAAAAGAGCTCATGAGACAGTATGTTTCATTAACAGTTGAGATGGTTGTTGGTGTGACTGTTGTAACGGTGCTGCTGAAGTTAGTTATGGCTAAAAAATAAACACAAAGACTGATGGATATCAATAAACCATCAAACACACAAATAATACAAAGACCACAAGTGTCTATAATGCTTTGAACTTGCACATTTCACACACTCTTTTAGTCCTCATTTCTATCTAGATACACAAACACTCTCAAACAGCTGTTCAATTCTACAGATCCACAAACATTCAGTCAAAACACAATCAACAGAGGACACATCAGACTACATTACCAGCTGAGCTCATCTCTGGTGTGACGGTTGTAGTGATGCTGATAATGTTAGGAACAACTGAAATAAATAATCACTGATGAATGTCAATGAATCAGCAAACACACAAATAATACAAAGAGCAGATGTGAATATAACGTGAATATCATGTGAATATACCTGCACAGTATGCTGCATGGTAGATAGTTGGTCTAACTAACTTATAGACATAATAACTGTTGGGACAGGCTTTGACATTAATGGGAAAAGATCCAAAAAAGCAGCAGTAATTTTCCCAGTTACCGCAGACATCTCGAGTGACGACTCCATCCTCAACTGTTGGGTGTCCGCCACGAATCCACAGTGTGATATTAGTGCTACAGCTATATTTTTCCACACAAGTGTCTGGGATATGAGCACTCATGTTGTTAATGAAGAGACGATACCAGCCGCTCCAGCTGACGGTGGAATCATATATTCTGGCTGAAGGATATGTATTATTGTTGGCTCTCCATGGATTGTCCAGCACAGTGTAGTTGTAACAGGGATCAGGCAGAATAGCTGTTATGAAAATAATAAAAGAAAAATTTTGTGATATTTTTCTTAAACATAATTCTACTTCACTAAGATTACTGAGTTTTTTTAAACAAATAAATATAAATAACTATTCACTTTGAGTATCATTTAACACAGACGTTAAAAAAAAATTAATCTCATGTTATCAATATGATTTTAAATAAGGGATGCACTTATATGAACCTTAGTAACAGTAATATCTTACAAATAAATAAAATAATGCAAACAAGTGATTGACACGGGTGCCGTAATTTCTACCGGGGGGAAAAGATGCAAAAACACAAGTGAACTTGAACTGTTACATGCTAGACAGAATGTGTAACTCCTGTTGTGGACGTACACTTCCCGTAACAATGTGCTGAAACACATCAACTAACTCCAAAGAATTCACAACATTTTATTGTATACAACATTTAACATGCTAACTGAGGCCTCTAGAGTCTGAGGTGTAATTCTTAGGTTGTCTGCGATTTCTCAGAGTATTGAAATCAAAAGGTATTTGATTAGCGGTGCCTGACCGTTACTTACCCTCTTAATTCCTATGTTAACAGTAAGGGTGTTCTTAGTTTGTCGCCCATGGCTTTTCTATTTTGGCCTAGTTTTTGTTAAATAAATAATGTCACAGTGCTATATGTTATGTGTTGTTGTTCATCTGAGGTTTAATTTTTCAAATTTTACGATCTGCAAAGGACCAGATGATTTTTATTTTATTATTATTATGTCCTGATTCGGAAAACCATGGAATTCAATAGGGTATCCTTTTTTTTAAAATATATATATATATATATATGGGGATACAGTGGGGAACTATCAGGGCCCTCTAGGGCCTAAACCATTGTAAAAACAATATTTACTATTTTTAAATATTTTTTTAAATGACAAACTTTTAAATATTATTTTTAATACAAAGTCATAATTTCCAATTTTAAGCAATTCATAATTTCACAATCATCATCTAAATAAAATTTCTGTGGAAATAAACTCTGCCTATTCAGTGAATGCATTAAATGAACTCCACCCATTTTCTCCATATTAGATTAGGCTTGTTTGAGATGAGCAAAATCTGCGCAGAACCGATCACCGGTGATCACCACGAGATGCATGCCGGTTAGAACTGAGTTTTTTTAAACAAATAAATATAAATAACTATTCACTTTGAGTATCATTTAACACAGACGTTAAAAAAAAATTAATCTCATGTTATCAATATGATTTTAAATAAGGGATGCACTTATATGAACCTTAGTAACAGTAATATCTTACAAATAAATAAAATAATGCAAACAAGTGATTGACACGGGTGCCGTAATTTCTACCGGGGGGAAAAGATGCAAAAACACAAGTGAACTTGAACTGTTACATGCTAGACAGAATGTGTAACTCCTGTTGTGGACGTACACTTCCCGTAACAATGTGCTGAAACACATCAACTAACTCCAAAGAATTCACAACATTTTATTGTATACAACATTTAACATGCTAACTGAGGCCTCTAGAGTCTGAGGTGTAATTCTTAGGTTGTCTGCGATTTCTCAGAGTATTGAAATCAAAAGGTATTTGATTAGCGGTGCCTGACCGTTACTTACCCTCTTAATTCCTATGTTAACAGTAAGGGTGTTCTTAGTTTGTCGCCCATGGCTTTTCTATTTTGGCCTAGTTTTTGTTAAATAAATAATGTCACAGTGCTATATGTTATGTGTTGTTGTTCATCTGAGGTTTAATTTTTCAAATTTTACGATCTGCAAAGGACCAGATGATTTTTATTTTATTATTATTATGTCCTGATTCGGAAAACCATGGAATTCAATAGGGTGTCCTTTTTTTTAAAATATATATATATATATATATGGGGATACAGTGGGGAACTATCAGGGCCCTCTAGGGCCTAAACCATTGTAAAAACAATATTTACTATTTTTAAATATTTTTTTAAATGACAAACTTTTAAATATTATTTTTAATACAAAGTCATAATTTCCAATTTTAAGCAATTCATAATTTCACAATCATCATCTAAATAAAATTTCTGTGGAAATAAACTCTGCCTATTCAGTGAATGCATTAAATGAACTCCACCCATTTTCTCCATATTAGATTAGGCTTGTTTGAGATGAGCAAAATCTGCGCAGAACCGATCACCGGTGATCACCACGAGATGCATGCCGGTTAGAAAAGTGTCCGAGTTACGTCCGACTTGCTCTGATATCATGCTGATGTGTGCCAAAAATGGTCAGGCGGCTGTGTCGGATTGTGCAGTCGAGCGCAGTTGCTCTCCACCGACTGCGCTGATCAAAAGCATGATGGGAAACGACTGACTGACGACACAGCTTAATGCTCATTGGTTCAGACAACCGTGATGCTGCTTTCTCTTTTCAAATGTTAGATTTTTTTATCTGGTTTAGTGTGATTATGTATGTAAATTATGCATGAATATTCTCGAACACTATGACAGTGCGATCTCTGTGTGAGATATGTGATTGTTGTCATATTTCTATAAAAATCTAAAATAGGCCTATATGTTTGTATTAAAGTAAAAATGGATGATAAATACACCTTTCGTATGAAATTAAATAGCAAGCACTTTGAGTGTCTTGTTCATCAAATTTATTTTCATATAAAGCAACACAACTGAAATGATATCATGTTTATCAGCAGCACAGCACAGCACATGTGTGAGAATAACGCGATATCCGCCTTTGATCTCGCAGGTATCTGCTCCACTTCGAGAGGGCAGAACTGTCCATTTGGCCTGCGCTTATTTCACTCCTCCCTTCACTGCAGCCGCCTACTCTTGCCTTCATTTCAGGCGAGGCGCATCTCAAAAAACCCTAATGTTTCAGCCTAGCGTTTGTGGCTCTGTGATTGGTGGCCCAGCTGTGAAATTACAGAGGGCCAAGCAATAGTAAATCAATGGGAGCGTAATTTTAACTGACCAATCATATCTTTCCTCTAAATGGGTGGGCCTTGTTATCACTAACTTTATGACTAAGTTCTGCCCGCTGTGGGATCTCTATCGAAAAAATATATATGCGCTGATAAACTAACTAGCTATTATTCATGTCACGATGGAAGCCGCAAATAACGTAAGTGAGGACATTTACTGGGCCAATAATAATTTTATTTAAAGTCCACATGCAATCAAAATTGACTTTATTTACTTTACTAGCGCACATTGCTAGTAATGATGTGAACAATTAATCCGTACAAGTTAATCCGCTGAAAAAAATTGTTTGTCTTCGTAATCTTTAATCAAAATCTGAACATTTACTTCCGCTCTGGAATGGCATTCCTTCTCTGATGACGTCAGTTTGACGGCTTGGGCAGAATATCCTTAAACACACCCCTCCAACCCTTAGATTGCTATGAGTGAGAGACAGAGAGGAGGAGCGCACACATAAAACCATGCCCTCTATTCAATATTCCGTTTCAGCTGGAAATACGTCACTACACTGAAATAAAGTCGGCACCAACTTCCGGTTCACGCGGACTTTAATATAAACACTGCTTGTTTGTATGGTGCCCGGGAGCTGACATGGTCGGTTCACTTAGTTGTTGTGGCCACAACATAATAACTCGTGGGAACGTGATAATATGTCGTGGCCACGAGATATTAATTTGTGGGAAAGTCATATTAACTTGTGGAAATGTGATATTATATCGTGGCCTCGAGATGCTATGTTGAGGGAACAATATCCATTTCTCGTGGCCACGAGTTTAATGTGTAAACAAACCTGCGTGACCATAGCAACCCAGGATTATCAGAGATGGATTCATTAATATTTTATTTTGAATTAAGAAATTATTATATTATTTATTATAGAAATTATTACATTATTAAATTATCATATTAACCATAGGCTTTGGCTACCGGACTGTATTACGTGCGATAGTCAGCATTCAAATGAAGTTTATCATGAATAAATGTTACATAAAGTGCATAATATAAAATAGGCCTACAAGAAAAAAATTTTATCCATCCTACAGTCTTGTAAGTCCATTAACTGATCGTCTTTTCCCCGTAATATTTGTATATTATTATTATTATAATTATTATTATTAGTCCATTATTATTGGTTATATTTTTATATTCTTTTATATTCATTTTCCCCTTCATTTCGAACTCTTTACTTAACATTCTGAATACTTTTGTAAATAATAGCCTACTGTAAATGCTCGACATGCCAATAAAGCTTTGATTATGCTGACTGGAATTTTTGCTGGAACGCAGTTTAAATTTAACATATATTTAATTTTATTTCGGCTAATTAATAGACCATACGTATAAATACTATAGTGTTTCGTTGAGGAATTAATCATTCAAGTAGTTTAATTTGTAAATGAAAACACAGCATGCTCATTTGTCATCACACATGGGCATAAATACAATCATAAAGTCAAAACTTTATTGGCATAATTGTCAGACGTTTATCTGCAAAATATATCAGGGTTTCCGCGAGTCTTAAAAGTCTTAAAAAGTCTTAAATTTAGTTGTATCAAATTTAAGGCCTTAAAAAGTCTTAAATTGTACAAGAAAGTCTTAATTATGATTTCAAGAGCTCTTAAATTTGGGGATGGAAAGACCAGAATTGCGATATGGCTGAATGTGACGATTAAACTTCAAAAGGCTAACCTTATGATTTCATGAAATAAACATGAGCACTGCACGTTCAAAGTCCGGTGCTGCGCTGCTTTGTGTTCTGCCGTTACCGGGGAAACAGTTATATTTCTACCAAATGCTCCCCCTGCTGGCAGAGAATAAATTAGCATTTTCAATAAAACTGCTGTTTTGTTCAGAGTTCAGACCAATGCAAAAATCGACCCATGTTTTTACCCTGTAAACATGCTTTAAATGTAAACTGGTGGATCGATAAGAAGACAATGCATTAAAAAAATCGAATAGGGGTGTGCGATATGCATGGTCGATAATATCTTGTTGTTTTAACGATGTGCAATTTGACATTATCTAGTATATCGCGAAAAGCAAACAAAACACCTAGCAGGTTAGACTAGTGCACGTGCGCATTTATAGTGCGTTCGTTCACTGCATGAATCAGTCTATTACAATGCACTTAGAAATATATAATTCAAGATATGGGGCAGAAAATGTATATATTTATATTATTTCATATAGTTAATATCACACGAAGAGTACAGTTTTTTCTCCAAAAGTCAGCATGATTACAAATGTGATATTGATTTTATACTACAGTTCAATAAACAAGAAGTTAATATTAAGAGACTTACGTTTTAGACACTATATTGCCTGTTTTTGCTCTATTGCTCCAACAAAAATCATTCCAAACAGAGTCACAGTGCTGTTTTGCGTCTCTGAGCAACAGGATGCTGTTTTGTTCCTGAACGAATCAACCGTTTAATTGATTCGGTTCAATCACAATGACTCAGTTTAACAGTGACTTGCTGCCACCTACTGGTGGTTTTAATTTCACATTTAAGGTACCTTTTCATTTTTTTAATAATTTCAAACATCAGTTTTTACTGTTTTATGTTTAAAATATCAAAACATTATTTATGCATTTGTAACTGCAGGTTAAATGCATTCATGTCCCTCTGAGCTGCATTAAACAGTGTGTAAATGCATCTAAAATGATGCAGCTTCTAATGCAGCTTGTGGTTCCTCTGCATTGCAAAGATCAATTTTGTTGATTCTTTGTCTGATTTAATTTGATTGGTAACAGCCCAAATACAAGAATTTGACTCAAAAGATGGTGCACACTTTTAGAAAAAATGGCTTAAAAATAAAAATTCCCATAAAACTTGTTGGAAATAATAAATTTCTATCACTGCTGTGAACTGACCACACAGAATATGAAGAATATCAAAAAATTCAGGAGTCAGCTGTCAGCATAATTAGAGATAATGTATCAGCACAATAACATACTCAGCAAAATATTGTCTAATTATCGTTATCGATAAAATCCCAGAAAATTATCGAGATATCATTTTTTGTCAATATTGCACACCCCTAATTTATGTTATTTAATTGCTATAATGATTTGTTGAT